TATGTACTATTATTATAGTCAACTGGTAATATTTAAAAAGGATGTCGGGTATCATACATAAACAATGAATAAATAATTAAATCTGAACAAATATTTGATAATGCTACTTAAAGTGTAAATKAAAGCTCAGTGAGACAAACCAATTAAAATTTACAACAGAATGGTAAAGAGAATGGCCACTGAGAGCAAACTGGATGAAACAATTAATGTAGATGATCGCCCATATTTAAAAACTTGTATATAATTATCTGCATGAATCCATGGATTAGCGCCATCATCAAAATACATTGGACATTGATCTCCTAAAATTAAAAAAATGAATTTATCTAGAATTATTACAACATTCAAAATTGCTTACTTTCACGTTCATATTCGGTCATCTCAATAGCAACAGTGGCTCCTTCAGTAAAATTACTACTAAATGCATCTTGTTTAAGATCACAAAATGAACCAATAGCTTGTGACATTAGTACACGGTTAAGATCAGCTCGTTGATATACCCAACATCTATACATGCTAGCAGCATCAAGAGGATCATAAGTCACTAAATAAGACTTCAAATTTTCCTTCCAGTAACCTATGCAATGTAATCGGTAGTCTGGATCACTATAAATGTCTACAGGCTGTCCACGATGATCCACATCAAGGCAAAATGATTCATCAATAGTAATCTCTTTTTGATCACCATCACAAGCAGCAAAATCTGATATTACATCCTTGCATGTAATTTGTGGACGAGGTGATAGTGTAACACCACCAAGAATACGAGTTTCAAACAAAAAATCACCATGYTGAGTGAAGTTGAATTTACCTGCAACTGGGCATCTTATAGGAACTGGATTTTTGGCTGAAAATATTATCACAACAATTTATATTATTTTCAATAATTAGTTATTTATAAGGAAATAAAAAAAAAATATGCTTACAGACAAAAATATCATATTTCCAATTATCTTTATTGGGAAATTGTACCCAAGAGCATACAGTATGGAAATTATCTCTAATAAATGCTATACCTCTTCTATAACGAATAATATTGTGATGTCTGGGCACAAAATCGAAACATACATAATCTTTTTGGCTATATTTAAAATTAAAATAAATAAAAACATTTAAAAAGACATTAAAACATTAAAAAATTGAAATAATTTATACCATCCATCAACAGTGAGCCGTGCCATCATATAACGAGATCCTCTTTGTTCACGACATACGTATATCGTTTTTCTAAATCTTGCTTCATCTGGATACCATGTTTCAATTACATGAGTTTCATTGATGAATACATCAGCATCCATATTGGCCGTGTTTACCCATTCACCACTAAAATTTTGAGGTAGTCGACAACCTGCCTCCACAACCTCAGCTTTTACTGCAAGAATRTATAATTTATAAATTATAATAGTATTATTAGCTAATAGCTAGGTTAATYATATTAATACTACCTACATGGCTACATAAATAATTAACTTTTATTAAATGTTCAAGAATTAATTACCAGGATTTATATGTAATCTCTCTGGACTTTTTTCTACTGTCTGAAGTGTATTACACTCAGCCGTAATAGACACACCAATATACAAATCATCATCACGATTTTTTAAGAAACATCGATATTTTTCATCTTTTCGAGATTCTTTAGTATTAGCTACAGCAAAGAAATGATTTTTGTCTACGAACCAGTCTCCTAAGCAACTGTACTCAACAACTAGTAAAAAAAAAAAAAAATTAGTATATTTAGTACTTTTCTGTTATACAAGGGTACATTGTTTTAGAAATGTCATAATCCTGTATCTATAAGACCATCAATAATTGCTATTTTCCTATTATTAATCTAACCTTCTTTTTTTTTAACAAAATATCATATTTCTTGATATGGTATTTCATTATGTATAAAATGTTATGTAAGTATAAATGTTAAAAAGTTTCATCACAATGATCAATACAAAAATCATACAAAAATTAAATGTTTTTTGGTCAACAAAATTCATTTGGTTGAATATAATATATAATATTACATAAGATTATCTGTTGGAGAAAATAAGATTTTGGTAATATTTAAAAAATTCAAGTGAATTTATAATATTTACATTCTATTCTAGTGTCCCATAAATTAAACAAAATATAGTTTTAGTTTTTGAGGACCTTTCCCAGAATGTTACAAAATTGATAATATTGTGGTATTTTCAATAACAGCARACTTTGGATAATAGCTGTAATCTCTAATAACAGGAAAGTACCTATTTTTATCAAATAGAAAAATTTACCTCCATCAAATGTGCCCGTCATACCAGGGCATTTTTTGTATGTTATGTTAAATTTTTGATTAGTTATTAAAAACTGTGTTCCTGCAGTTTGACAAGATTTAATTTGTGCTTCAGGATTATTACATTCACCAGTGAAACGAAAACGGTTCTATAAAATTTAAATTGAATATTAAATTTATTTTATAAAACATTTACCCATAAACATATTAAACCAAAAACCAACCAATTGGTTAACAATAAAACATATTCTTTGGTTATAATACCTGGTATGCAAATTGCCATACGCCTTCAAGACTGGACCGACAGTTTACGGGTATATAATTTTCCGAAAACAATGTAATTAATTGTGTGTCTTGGAATTGACATATTTTGTCAGGAGATTCATACTCATTAGGATTTAGAGTCATACAAACACCTTAAATATTTTGGAGATTAAGTTTAATTAAGATTAATTTATAGTATTCAAAATGTAAATGTTTTTCAACAGGTAACTTACTTTCCATTTTATCCAATACATTAACAGTTCGAACCATAAATTTAACACAAGTATAACAATCCCCAGCACTCTTTTGAAATACAAATGTGAAATTCACCTGATTTTCTTCCATTGATCGAATGCAATTTCCTCGTTTAGACATACTTGTTGCATCAATTTCTGTTGTTGTACTGCGTCCATTTTCCCAAGAATACCATTGTCCACGAATTACCAATGGAATATTACACTTTGTATTTACCTTGTTAAGTTCATAACTTCCACACACTAAAATTATTAATCCCAATTACAATTGAATTAGATATATTTAAAATTCTAATGAATTTTTAACTCCCTACACTAATTATTAATCAAAAATTTAAATGTACAAATTAAAAATTTAACATTTGTCTGATTGGGCACCACCAACATCAGATATTTTTATTGACAGAAATTACAGTTAAAATACATATAACTTACATGAGGCTAGAAAAAACGCTGTTGTAATGAATTTTAGTAGAATATGCATATTAAAAAAATAATAATAGAACACTATAGTTGCTTATTTTATATCATTCAAAAAAAATTAACACATTTCTTAAACATCATGCACAAGAGAATAGTAAAATATAGTGAATACTAATATAATTCAATCCAACAGGTAGTATAATAATTATAATACATTTGTTTTGGATTTGAGATATGAGTGAAGACGTATAGTATAGTAATAAAAGATTACATCCTTGGACCTTGGAAGTTCGACTTGTAATTAGTAAAATGTTGTTGACTGTTTGTTGTGGGTACGCCCAAAAAAATAGACATCAACTTGATCATCCGTCAACTAGTTCCCCTTTATCAGTCTTGGA